TGTGTTTTGATGTCAAACATTTGCTCATTTAGCTTATCTAAGTTGCTTTTTTGTCTCTTCATAAATTTTCTGCATTGTTTTTTGAATTAGCTGTAGTGTAGCTTGCATCTCTTTTTTGAAAACTATTGTTTTTTTCTCATTGTAACATTGTTTCAATAGATCCCTGACTTGCTGGGCTAGATGTTCCAGAAGAGGGTGCAGAAGAGGGTTTTTTTTTCATGATTTTAGTGAGATTTGGCACACTCATTTTTCAGTTGAGCAGGTTTTGTAAATCCAGAAAGAGAAAGGGGGGGGACCAACTGCCTTAGCCTATAATCCAGTGGTCTTCAAACTTGGCCCTTTTATGACTTGTGGACTTCAACTCCCAGAATTCCTCGGCCAGTGTGCCTGGCTGAGGAATTCTGGGAGTTGAAGTCCATAAGTCATAAAAGGGCCAAGTTTAAAGACCCCTGCTATAACCCATCCGTGAAACAAACCAATTGCTTTAGGTTAATCCAAATGTTCCAGTTAGTTTAAAGATGTAAAATGCCCTCTATTTCCAAATAGTTTCTATTATGGTTATATCTGGGGTCAAAAAGGTCTTTTATAGCATAGAATCACAAAGTTCTTTTTGTTTACAGCAGGTGTTAATTCAAGGTCAGCAACTTCCCCAATTCTTTTGGTGTTATTTGTAGTATCTACTCTCACCACTAGATGTCCTTATTTACTGGACTGTCTATATCCAGCTTTTAAAAAGTTCTTTTCAAAATGCTTTCTCACAGAAAATAAATTAAAAAATTTTCCACGTCGTAAAGGTTAGCCAAATTTTCTTTAAATCAGTCACAGTTTCATTTTTATATAGTCTTTTGTATTCCTTAATTTCGTTCCCCCATTTAAAATTGTTCTCCAGTACAGGAGATGGAGAATCCATCAATGGGTTTTCTCTGTCTGCCTGCTCTTGAGACCAAGTAGCCAAACTTTACACGCCCCCTGTTGCTAGGAGATCCAGTCTTGACTTGGTCTCAAGCTCTTGAAGAGGTATCAGGTTTGGCTCTCAGAGCATAATAGCAGGTTAGAGATCCATTTGTGAATTCTCCTTACCCAATAATTTCCAGCACTTCAGGGATCAGCGCTGCCTCAAATCAGCTGATTTGAGGCTTGACAAGTGGGGGGGGCAGCTGCAGCTTCCCTGTTCTCCTTCCCCAGGGCTCTGGGGAAACTCCTCGCAGCCATTTTCCCCTCATCAGCTCTCCCTGAGCACTCCAAACTCCCTCAAAGTTTGCTGCCCAAGACCTCCAGAGCCGTCCCTAACAGCTGCGGCTGCCATTTTGGCTGCCACTAAAGGCACCGAGCTTCAGACACTGACATCGGAGCCCACCTCTAATATCGATCTCAGGCAACTCGCCAATTTAACACTCCTGCACAGCATCTGGTGCTGCTGCTACGGCCCCCTCAGATTCTGGCAACTTGCCTTCGAGGCCTCCGGAGACCATCCACAATGGCCCCAAAGTAGTGGCCGCCATTTTGGTGGCTGTCGAAGGCAACGAAAGTTCAAACGGAACTCCCTGTCGCTTCTCTTGCCCTCGGAGGCTTGGATAATTCTCTCGTCTCCTCTGGTCTAGGGTCCCGGCTCCAGCGCAGCCCTGAACAGCCCAGTAACAAGAGCCCTACCCCAGTGGCTGCAGCCCCAGTAATTCACTAGGCAGCAGTAGGGAGGCGTTCAAACCTTCTTAGCTACCATTACAGCCACGCCCAAATACTTGGGCCGCCATTTTAATCCCCAGCCGCCATTTTGAGTTATCACCATTTCCTTGCCAGGCCTTCCTTTCAGGCCCTCTGAGCCCTTCATTGGGCCATCTGGTGCACCTTGACTGACCACCTAAGGCTTCCGGGTGGAGCCCAGAGCGGGTCCCAACCATGCCTTCGGCCTTACCTTCACAGCCGTGACCTAATTCCCAGAGAGATTTATTATCTGGTCAGGTGGTCGGGAGCAATCCACATTACTTGCTCCAACTACTCTTCCCGCCAACTGCTTGCCTGCCAGAGCTCCCTCTCAAGTTTCCTGAAATAGCTCAACCCAGGATGGAGGACTCCATGGTACCTCAACTCATGAGCACCGCCTTCCCATCCTCAAATTACGTCCAGTACAAAACCTCCAAACAGGAGGCAGCAGGCAAGCTCAAGAACAAGGCTAAGGCAACCCTCAAGAAGCCTTCCAAGTTGGTGGAGAAGCAAGCCAGCCGCAGGCACCAGACTCTGGAGAAGGAGTTATCCAGATCGCAGAGACAGACAGGACACAGACGGATCAATTGGTGGTCCCTGAATTCGACCTTCCTATAGCCCTTCGACCTCTGCTCAGGGCATGTGGTCATTAGCGGAAGCCCCCACCACACATTGCCCCCCTTCAGTGGCAGCTCAAGACATGGCTATCAGCCCTCCTACGCTTCCAGCAGGCTCGGCTCCCAAGGCCACCTTCACTCCAATGGCTGCCGGACTCGGGACCAGAACTTGGGGACATTTTCTCCAATGGCCGCTTTGAGGCCCTGTTCTCTAAGGTGGTAGACCGGGCACTCGCGGCACGGTCTTATCAAATGCCTGGACAGGAGGCTTCTAACTCCGTTATTCCGCCTTATGTACCTCCAGCAGGGATTTCCCTATATCAGGAACCCGCATCTCCCGCCCATTCCTCAATTAGCGGCTACTCATCCCCGACGGGAGGTGATCAACCGGAATTCAACTTGTCAGAGGAGGAAGAGCTTCCCCCTGACCCCTCCCCGTCGGGAGGCCTTTTCAATCCGGCCTTATTCCTTCCCTTGCTTCGCAAAGCCACCCCGATAGCCAACATAGGGTCCAATCAGTTTCTTCAGCCACAATCCACATCCAAGACGAGCCAGAACCCAGTCTTCTTCGAAACCGTGGCAGCCCAGCACCATGTTCCCTGTCCTTCTATTTTTCTCAAAGGGGTTAAAAAGCAATGGGTTTCCCCATCATCTTTCCCCTCCATAGGTGCCACAGACAAAAAGATATTTAGCACATCTACAGGCCTAACTGAGGCCCTGGAGGTACCAAAGGTGGATGAAGCCTGGACCCCTTTCGTGTCCCAGACTGCGGTTTCCGGGGTCATGGCTGAGGCGCTCAAGGCAGAGGATAGAAAATGGGACTTAGCCTTCCTAAAGACCCATCAATCGGCCGCATGGGCAATTAAAACAACCACTTGCGTGTCCTTTTTTGTCCGAACCACCCTCCTATGGCTTTGTCAGCTTCAGGCCAGACTCCCTCCCGAGGATATTTGGACCCATCAGGACCTAAGCAAGATGGTTGCGGCAACGGAGTATGCATCGGATGCAACTCTACAGTCGGCCAACTTTGCTTCCAGGTCCTTAGCCTCAAACGTTACCGCTAGGAGGATGCTATGGCTAGTCAGCAATGTTTCTTCCTTGGTTATCCTTCATGCACATTACTCCTGTTCCATGATTTTCTTCACAAGCACTGGCATTAGATAATGTAAGTGATCTACAAATCCTTTGCCATTACCCTCTGCTGATCCTCAGAGAATTGTACCTCTTGCTCTTGGGCTGAGTTTTGCTAGACAACCATTCCTGGGAAGGGTAACAATGATATGTATTTTCTTCACCATGTGGCTGCCTATGGATTGATGGCCTCATACTTCCATAACAGTCTTTTCCAGCCTTATGAACATTAAAAAAACTTTCCTCAGCTTTATTCAGTTATTTATACTCTATAATATAAATATAGGATTTATATCTTATAGGGATAGGATTCATTTGTACAAATTGACAAAAAAGAACAGACTCTGATGGTAACATCTAACGTGGGCTTTTTTAAATAAGGGTAAGCTCCTCAAACTCACATTTTGATTGCCATCTAACTCTGGTTGAGCTTGATAGCATAACCAGATCTTGAGGATTTTTTGTAATATCAAAAGGGATGAAAATAATCTATTGGCTAGGGGCATAATATTTCATTACATCCTGATATGTGCTCCTTTACTCCTGGATTGAAAGGTGCTGGGCCTTTTTTTCTTGGACTGCTTAATGGCTTTTGATGCTATTTACTAGACTATTCACTCCTCTTTAATAGTGATCTTTGTGATTTATATACATGAGTTATATTTTTATGGAGATAAAGCCCTTTGTGCTCAGAACATTCTAATACTTCCAAACTGTTTGCAGGGGCTTTCCATTTCCACTTCTCTCCTTGCTAAGTGACTAGGCTTAGTTCCCACTTAATTTTCAACTACCCAGTGTTAACCCTTCTCTTCATGAGAACTTCCTTCCTTCCTTCCTTCCTTCCTTCCTTCCTTCCTTCCTTCCTTCCTTCCTTCCTTCCTTCCTTCCTTCCTTCCTTCCTTCCTTCCCTCCTTCCCTCCCTCCCTCCCTAATACATCATAGAATGGAGGAGTTGTACATGTTTAGTGTACAAGTTTGCAAAATTATGGTTGATAATGGCTATTAAGCTTCTGTTTGAAAACATTCCAACAAACAGGAGACCCATAATTTATTTTATGTTTGCACTGAATAAGACATTCCAAGTTCCTTTCGATTGCATTTCAGGTAAATTTAGCTAGCTTTTTCCAAACGGGACGACTTATATGAAGTACTATTATATAGAATAATATAAAGACATGTTCTTAATATTCTACAAGTAGGGTTGTGTTACATAAATAGATTTTGTCCAATGTGAGAAAAACATATTAATGATGGGAGCTTAGATAACTTTTATATTTTTGTATCATGATAGTTTCTATGCACCTAACTCCTTTGATTTCCCTAATGCAGCATTCTTTACAATTAGCCATGCTTGTTGTGGCTTACTGGAAGTTGCGGTTGAAGAACATCTGAACTATACCTGCTGTACCAAAAGAAATGTGAAAAAATGTTATGAAGAAAAAATGCTTATTGAGATAGTATTTCAAGTATTATAAAAATCTTATAAAATTACTATTTGCCAGTGTTTTGATATGGAACATATGATCATAATATTTGCTTTTTATGTTACAGTTGTATATGTATCAATTATTCCGAAGTTTAGCTTATATCCATTCCTTTGGAATATGTCATCGGGATATAAAACCACAGAATCTTTTGTTGGACCCTGACACAGCTGTTCTAAAACTTTGTGATTTTGGAAGGTAAATATTTTCAGGACTTTTCATCAGGATGTAAAGAACTTTGTATATTTGTCTCTTCCTTAGGCCATGTTAATTAGCAATATATGTTAAAAGCTTTGTATGAACAAGATTTTTTTTTTAAAAAAAGTATATTGGAACAAATTTTACTGATCTTTTGAAAGAACATAGTATATTCTGCTATAGAATTACTTCAATCGAATCCACCTTTGCTGGAATCAAAGCTGTTTAATTGCTGAGAATAGCTGTAATCAGTCTTCTTTATCTAATTTATCTCCCAGCAGCAAAAAAGCAAAATAATTAAATTATGTCAGAAAGGAGCCAGAACTCATAGATGCTATTGTGTTAAATTTGTTCTTCTTGTAAAGCTTTGTTTTAAATCTCCGAACCATAAATAGATAAAGCCAAAGAAAGACCAATCAGGATTTCAGATACTTAGTGTAGTCAAGCTACAAGGTTGTTCCATTCCATTAGAATAAATTCAGGTCCAATGGATTTCCTGAATCCAACTTTTTATCGAAGCTAACCCTAACCCTATCCAAAGTATGTTGCAGACATGCTTTGCCACCCTTACTTTGCCAGTAAAAAAGACAGATTAAAAATTGTGCCATGTATTCTAGGAGAAAGATAATTAAATGTTATTATCTGAAGACGTGTCATATAGGTTTACAACAAGACAGCACTTATTTAGCAAAATAATAGGCTGATCTGGTTTTCTCAGGAAGTGAAGAGGTAATGCCATTGAAAAGTGGTTTAGAATGCCTTGGCAGAACACCCAAAGAGAATTTGACTGAGCACTGGTAAAAGCTCATCCTAGACCCCATATGGTGGCAAACCATTGTCTTTTCTGCACTTACTGAGCCTGAAGAGTCCTGTTCAACAGCCCATTCAATATTACCTGGATCTTTAGAGAAAGTTGGAAGGGAAAGGTTGCTTGCAGACACCCCAGATGATTTTGAGGGTTTCATGGCAGACCAGATGAATTCCATGGAGCCTTCCCAATGTCATATTCTATGATTCAAAGCTATGTGTTTGGGAGAGTATGGCTCCCAGCAGATGTCAAGAGATTTATAATTCATGGCCCCATTCATGGTGTTTGGAATGCCTGGATTAAATATTGAAAAGCAGCATAAGCCATGTCACCTTCAGGATTAAATTAATTCTGAATGACAGAATAGAGGAAACTTTTATGTTGTAGGCTTATTCTGGATTGTTAATTATCAGAGATGTTCCACATATAACTGCGGTTTCTTATGCAAAAAAGATAGCATTTCTTGTTGCATATTTTCATAGGATAATCAACATGTACTTAGTAAGAGATATTTTCCCTTAAAAAAGTAAAATATGGATAAATGTGTAAAATGAAATTTTCAACTGGTGCAAACTGTGGAAACCTATATGCAGGCAGACGAAAGCAAATACAAGGGGCTGATCATTACCTATAAAACTCTGTGGTGCTTAGATCCAGACTGTTCATTGGATATTCTCCTCCAGAGCCAATCTACCCAAAGTCTCTTCAATCCATGCTCTAGATTCTTCCACCACAACATATCAGAGTGGGGAAATCCATATGTGGGGGTCAGTTGATACGTCTTTCCCAGCACCCGGTAATAGGTGGAACCTCTCCTTGTTATATCTTGATTGTGTCCAATAATTATGTTGGGGAGAATGAACGGTTTCTATATCAGACTAATATTGTGACATCACCCACACCGTAGTTACATTTATCATTGCAGCAGTTAAAACTAGGTAACAGTTAACTTCAGTCAGCTTGATAGCTCAGCATCCTTGGATTATTTTATTTTTCTTTCTTTTCTCTTTCTCTCCTCCAATACTATAACCCTATATAGTCCGATTATAATACACAACCAAGTAGGCATTAAGTAAGCATCATCAATTATGCCCAAAATATTCAAGATAGAATTTTATTATTATACATTTTACATTCTATCATTATATTTTTAATTAAGTATTTTAATATTTTAATACTCCACTAGACTTTATGTACCAATTTAGCTTCAGAACTATTTAATAGATAAACATTGATTACAACTTTTGCTGTTTCATAATTTAAATATGCTCCGGTATTCCAGTACCTACTATTTCCCTTCTGCTTTGTATAATTTTTTGGCTACCTTTATCCCATTCCCCTTTCCCCCTATAATATTGTAACTGAATCGTATCTATATTTGGTCATTGACCATGATAAAGTATTTGATTAATCAATATGATTGATAATTTAGTTTAAAACTTGCCTGTTTTGCTTGGAAATCTTTGGAGGACTGATGTTATATGTTACTTTTAGAGTTCTCTGTATTAATTGAAGAATCATATGGACATGGTTTTTCATGTATATCACCCGGATGGTCATCACCATGAACTCCTGAAAATCTGCAATTCGTTTAGAAAGAATTCCTTAGAGCGAGAGATAACATATTGCCGTCTGCCCTTCTCTATGGCAGATATAATAAAATACCTATAAATAATTATTCCTTGGTATATAATAAAATCAGGACAATTAAAAATCTTATTTTTATCTATATCTATAGGTACCTTTTTATTAATTAGCATAAAATTAAACTTATCCAAAGTTAATGTATATGCAGAGTATTTATTTTATTACTGTATCATTTTTTTTTCATTTTAATTCCAAGACAGTAAAAACAGAAAGGTATACATTATTGGACTGGATGTAGTTGCTTGAAGTTTGGATGAAATTGAGAAAGTTATGTTTCTTAATACATTTCAGACTTCCCTTCCCTAGTGAGAAGGGAAATAAACAAGTCAAGTCATCAATTTGATTTTCATGTTTGCTGAAGGAAGATGCTACCATGCTGTAGATAAGACACTGTGTATCATACTGTAAAGTCATAAAAATAGGGACATTTTGTTTGGAATGTCAGCTGAATATATTCCAAATGTAGACTGTGGTTAGAAATCAAAACTCATCTGGAGTAGCCCAGAATAGGGCATAAGATTCAATCTGGCAATCAATTTGAGTTGATATCTAATGCTGATATGTATGAGTTGTAAAAGTTGGAATGGGCTATCTGAGTTACAGAGAAATCATCTCTTGGCTGAATTCTGCTGAACAGTGGTCTGGAATGCAAAGGCACTATGGTCAGAAAATAACATGCTTTGCCATTTCCACAGGAGCTGTTTGAAAAACAATATCTCATAGTTCAGGAGAGTAAGTAAGATAGGCTGGATAGCAGATCAAGCAGACTTGGATAAGAATGAGGTAGAATTGGTCCCATAAAATGGCAGGGAGCTGGCTTAACTACTGTTGTAATCAGGAAAGGTGGAAGTGATGGGGAGACCTGGTTTAGTAATGTGGATACAGATTGCATGCGAATCGAGCATTGTTTCATGAGGCACAAGAAACAGTTGGGGCTGTTTTAAGCAATGCAGTATTAATGCTTAATTTTAGATTCTCTTATTTTGTTTATTTGTTTACATTTATTGGCCACCCAACTCCAATTTGTAACAGATAACTGTCTTTTTCAATCTTAGTTACATGTCTGGAGGAATTTTTTTTACCAAAGTTTCTTTGAGGTTGATACCTTAAGGGCATTAGAACAGGGCTTTTCAACCTTTTCACCGACTGTACCACTTTTAGGCTATGGCAGTGGTTCTCAACCTGTGGGTTGGGACCCCATTTGGGGTCGAATGACCATTTCACGGGGGTCGCCAAACCACGCTGTCCGCCATTTTTTCCCCTTTTCCCTAGCTGTCCTACTCCCTCTTATTGATGGTCACACCCACTTGGGGGTCACCACAACATGGGGAACTGTATTATGGGGTCACGGTATTAGAAAGGTTGAGAACCACTGGGCTATGGCAATATTCAAGTACCACCTAGCAAGGTGTCAAAAACTTGATGACCAAAAACCAAAAAACTGTTCGAAGTTGCAATTGCACTGAAATGATTTATGGCCATTTTTCACACTTATGACCATTGCAGCATGCCCAGGGTCATGTGATTTATATTTGGATGCTTGGCAACTGATTCACATTTATTATGATTATAGTGTTCCAGGGTCATATGATCCCTCTTTGCAACCTTTTGACAAGCAAAGTCAATGGCAGGGCTGCTAGTGTCCAAGTGCTAAGGCGGGACTTCCTTCCCTCCCTCCCTCCTTCCCTGCCTCCCTCTTTCTCATGCCCACCTCCTTCTGAAGGAAAAATTTGAACCCCCCCCATTTTCCCTCTTCCATATATTCATCAAACAAGGAAAAGCCTCCAGAGACAGAAAAGTGAAGCTGCTGAGGGAACTAGCTTAAAAAGGCACATTCCCCTTTAAGAATTAGCTACTAGCTAGAAAGGAAAGTTAATGAGTGCAGCCGGCTAAGACAGCCTCCCCAAATGGCTCCACTCATAAATAAAGGAATGCTACAGGCAAAATCCATTCAGGAGAAAAATACTTCAAAATCCCTTGCAGTAAAACTTACAGCTAACAATAGCAGAACAATAGAAGCTAACAGGAGACATCAGCCAAATAGAAATTGCCAAATACTCCTTAAGAACACAAAACCCACATTGCACAAATCCCAGAACTTCAAAGTCACAAAAGCATATAAGAATCCTTCCACTCTTCATCTCCCTCCCTCCTTTCCTGTCTTATCTCCAGCTGATGCTACCTTTCTTCATTCCTCCTGGAGGGCAATCCCTCCCCTGCTGCATTTCTTGCCTGTTTGTTGCTGCCAGCACAGGTGGCTGCCACAGAAGTATCAGATCGGCTCATGTCCGGCTTGCTTGGACTCCTTGATCTCCTCTCCTTCCCCCCCTCCTTCCCCTTCGGTGCAGCTCGAGCTGACTCCACATCCTCCCGAGGCTGCTTCTTTTTTTCCTCTCCCGCCCAAACTGCCTCCTTTCATAGCTTCTCCTGTCTCCGCCCCCTTCCTCTTCCTTTCTCATGGGGGAGGTGAGCCAGAAGTGAGCTTGGGGTGAGGCTCAGCCTCAGCCACTCTGCAGCTCCAGAGGACTCTCTCACAGTAAGCCCTTGCCTGCGCTGGCTCTTTCCCTCCCCCATTACACTTGGCTAGCAGGGCTGCGTACCACCTGCCACTTGTTAATGTACCACAAGTGGTACGGGTACCACCGGTTGAAAAGCCCTGCATTGGAAGACTTAAGTGGTCCTTGGGCAGATCTTTGTTAGCTGTACTCAAAACTAGCTTATCTTAGGAGTTGATGTCTAGAAGTAGTTTTGTTCTTTTCTGAAGTGACTTAGAATATTTGTGTTTTACATTGGGAAATGAAGGCTTGATATTTAAGTCATATAAATATATTTTAGATAGACTTGAAAGAATTCCAGATATTTTGTTTTGAGTTGAGTGAACAGGATACTTGGAGTTTTGAATTTCCTTAATTTATTTGCAGTTGATGGGGCTAGTTGTTGTATTTATGTCTGTTGTATTTATGTCTGTATGAGGATTGGAATTTGCAGCAAATGGCACAAAACCAGAATGGCAGACTTGTATTGGTTAGTGATTAAAAACTCTTGTCATGTCCTTGCATCAGAGGGTAACAGTGTTTTTAACTAGGGTACCTCAAATTGGCTAATTTATAGAATGTATCCAAAAATCTCATGACTTCCAAGGGACTGAAATGTGGGAAAGCTAGCCCTGCTTCAGTGCTATGGGCTGCTGCTGCTGTGATCATTTTCAACAATCAATTTCCCAGCCAATCCCTCACTCTCTCCCCCACCCAGCAGCAGCAACTTACCTGTCTGGTGGAAGAGAAGAGAAGGGGGAAAGAAGGGAGGGACAGAAAGGAAAGAACCCCTGCACACCCTTCCTGGCTCATGCTGTTCCCCCAAAGCCTTCCCTGACCTTAACACTTCAAAAGAAATCATACATTTTAAAATTTATTATAAATATGAACTATATCCTTGTTTTTTTTTTAGGATAATATTTTTGTTCATTTTGTTCATTGATTAAAAAATTAATTGGATTATTCAGTATATAAATCTTCAGGGTCTTTATGTTTACTCTTTACCTTTTAAAATATTTTTTTAAAATAAATATGTCTGATCCTTTGGGATCAATTAACAAATATTTCCTGGAAAAGTGATAGATTTGTGCTACTAATATTTGAAGAGTTTTGTATTAAGAATTTATATTTTATCCAGGGAGATTTGAAAAAAAATATTTCTGAATTTTTGATGTTATCTGCAGACATAGTTCATGTTGCTTTTTCCTGTTTGCACTAAATTTCATTTAACTAGAGTATCTGGCTCATTAACATTGAATTATAAAATGGTTTATCTATCATAAATCTTAAGTATTAATGCTAAATAAATTTGCATTTTTATATTTATCTTAATACTTGCATTTATGATAAATGCCATTTCTGCTTTTTTAAATTTTAGAGGAAGCATGTATACTCCTTTAAATATTATTTTACTGAAAATTATATATTTTGAATATTGAACACTAAGTTTTATATTATCATTCCATTTACAGCGCAAAGCAGCTAGTTCGTGGAGAGCCTAATGTCTCTTACATCTGCTCTCGATATTATAGAGCACCAGAGTTAATTTTTGGAGCCACAGATTATACTTCTAGTATAGGTATGTATTTGTTTTTTCACTTTTAAACTGAAGTGATCAGTATATTGAATAGAGAACAAAAGTTTACATGTGGCATTACATAAACATATTTCTTCTCATAAAGGAAAATAGAGGAAATCCATCCAGTTGGTAATTTCCTTTTTTCCTTGGTTACTAAAGCTCTTATATATGATCCACCATGGCTCTTTAGAGTCCTCAAAAGAAATGTAGCAGACTCCCAACTGGACTCCTTGATCTATAAATATAACCTCTACATTTTAGAAAGTAAAGAACCTGGTTTTATATACCATTTAGGAAACACTATAATGTTTTAGATTGTTTAAATGTTGCATGAAAAAAGATTGGGCTTCTTTTCAGGTATCCAAGCCCGTATGAAGGAGGATAATGATCATCAACCAATCATAATCCATTTCCAAGGCAGATGTGGTACTAAATTGTTTATGCTTCATGATAAGATATTATTAACTAATCTCAAGTGAGGTATCTTTCATTGGGAGAATTTTAAATAGATAAAAGTTCCCACCAGAGCTTGTAACCAAGCTACAAAAAAAATCTGTCTACATGTCAGAAAGCTACTAAGGGTAGTAGTGTATGGACAAAAATACTGTTTTGCTTCCAAGGAATTGCAGAAGAGCAAGGTGACAAGTCACAGAAAGAAATGGATTTTCATATTTTTAAAGGGATTGGAGTTTTATCTTGTTTTTAATAAAGCAGGTTTGTTAAGACAACTGGAAAGTTTTTAAAAGGTCCCTTGAGGAAAATTTTATTCTTAGGATAAGAATATACATTTCTTCGTAACAATCCATATGGAGTTTGCCATTGAATTTTTTTTCTCAAACTACAATCCAGCCTTGGATTACTGGTATTAATCAGGTCTGATCCTGCTTATCTCTCCAAGATCAGATGTATCTGGCGAAGTGCTACCACTACTAACACTCCAGAAGCTTAAAAAGCTTATTTTTGTTATTATTATTATTTAAAAAATAAATAGAACATTTCCCTACCAAAAATCAATGAGTGTATACTAAATTTATTGAAATAATCTGTGGGGCTATAGAATAGTGGCCAGCAAGATCTCAGTTTCTGGACTAGTTGATGAGTATTGTTGGATATTTTCAACTATATTTTACCAGTATTTGGTAAAAATAGTACATTGTATTTACGAATACAATACTTGCAGTTTGGATATGACTTATCTGTCATTTTCTTAATTTTAATATTGCTGTTGCTCAAAATTGGTTCAGGCAATGAATAATGCAAGCCATATTTAAAATTGATTCCCTCCCAAGCCGTGCTTTATTAAATTTACATTGCATTTTAAAATTATTTCTCCTTTAAGTCTATTTCCATTTTAAAATATAAGTTAAAATAATTTTTCTTTGAAATCCATCCCTTGTCACCTTTAGACACTTTAGCATTTAATAATTGTTATGCAAAGCTCACTTTCTGTCAAGAAACTTCACATTGAGCTATTGTTTTTTTTCTCAGGAGTCTTGGCTGTACTGAAGAGAATAGTTGGAAACAGATTTCTGAGAAGACTAAAGCTACTTCCCATTTATCTAGCCACTCCTAAATTATCACTATTGCAGCCACTCCTTCTTTTGCTGAAGCTTCTAAAAGCTCCCATGATTACTGTTGCCACAAGACCCATCAGCCATAAAGTCTTCTTATTGAAGAAGGAATCTAATAGTTGCTAAGGCACCAGGTAGAAAGTGGGAGACTGTGAGTTCTAGTCCTACCTTAGTCATGAAATCCAGTTGGATGACTTTGGGCCAGTTGCTCTCTCTCAGCCCAATGCCCTTCACAGGGTTTTGTGGGGAAAGCAGGAGGAAGAAGTGTGTTGGATAAGTTTGCTGCCTTGAGATATTTGTAAACAAATAACGGCAGGGTATAAACAAATGTTTCCAGAATTAATTTTTCTTCATCATTGTATCATTTGCAGAATATGGCTGATATCATATGATGGGGATTGGCAACATGCCATGTAAAACTTCTTTGATGCTATTGACCTTTCAGAATGATATATTTTAGATAAGATTGCATGAAATGTTTGATGTTTTGATTACTTTAAAATTGTTTAATTTCTTTTCAACACCCACAAACTCACATTAGGGTACCTACTACCTGAAAAGATTGCTGATTCCTCGGCTGTGTTGTGTCGCTTGACTATATCATTCTAGTCATTATTTCAAGGATAAGGCAGGAATAAGAATGATGTGTTGAAGCAGCTGAGCTACAAGAAAATACTAGATTTGTGCCTTTTTTTAGCTCCGAGGAATTTATAAGTATGCATAGCATGAAAAAGGTGTATTTAAACTTTTTTTTTCTATCTCAGAATATTAGAACTGCAGGCAGTTCATTGAAATTAAATATGGGGAGATTCCACAACAGTAAAAAGGCAGACAGTACTTAAAAATGCTTATTTAAATACACACTAAACTGTTGTACAAGGAGAGCCATGTTAGCCTATGTGGTGAAAACTTCCAGTTAACTTTGCAATATTTTGTTGCCAAATGTATTAATGGCCACCACGTTTTAAAAGAGGAGCAAATCTGTGGAGGATACAGTTAGCAAAAGTTACTAATTGTCATGTTTTTATTCTATAAAATATAAATGATATACTTTGAAATCAATTTTTAGGGAGAAAACAGTGTAAATTACTCTGTAAATTAGCAGTTAGTAGTTGTGTGACACACAGTGGTGGGCTAGATATTGTGCATGACAAATTAGTGAATCAGAGAAATCTGTGGATATGGTTTACTTGGACTTCAGTAAGGCATTTGATAAAGTAGACCACAACCTACTACTTAATAAAATATAAAAATGTGGGTTAGACGGCATCAATACCAGATGGATTTTTAACTGGCTGACCAACCTCACTCAACATGTAGTCCTCAATGGAACAGCATCTATATGGAGGCAAGTATGCAATGGGGTACCCCAAGGCTCTGTCCTATGCCCAGTACTCTTCAATATCTTCATCAATGATTTAGGTGAGAGGATAGATGGAGAACTCATCAAATTTGCAGATGACACCAAGCTGGCAGGAATAGCCAACACTCCAGAAGATTGGTTTAAGATTCAGAAGGATCTTGACAGACTTGAACATTGGGCCCTATCTAACAAAATGGAATTAAACGATGAAAAAAGATTCTACATTTAGGAAGAAAAACCAAATGCACACATATACGGTAATATAGGTGCTACCTGGCTCAATAGTAGTAATTGTGAGAGGGATCTTGGACTTGTAGTGGAAAGTCACTTATATATGAGCTAGCAATGTGCAGCAGCTGCTAAAAAAGTCAACACAGTTCTAGGCTGCATTAACAGAGGGATAGAATCAAGATCACGTGAAAATACCACTCTGTAATGCCTTGGTAAAGTCACACTTGGAATACTGCATCCAGTTTTGGTTGCCACGATGTAAAAAAGATGTTGAGACTCTAGAAAGAGTACAGAGAAGAGCAACAAAGATGTTTAGGAGACTGGAAGCTAAAACATATAAAGAACAGTTGTTGGAATTGTATGTCTAGTCTAATGAAAAGAAGGACTAAGGGTGACATGAGAGCAGCGTTCCAGTATCTCGGGTTGCCACAAAGAAGAGGGAGTCAACCTTTTTATAAAACCCTAGTAAGATCAGAATATTCTGTTCTGTTCTGTTCTACTCTCCTCTCTCCACTCCACTCCACCACTCCGCACCTGAAGGCAGGACAAGAAGCAATGGATGGAAACTAATCAAAGATAAGCCACCTAGAACTAAGGATAAATTTCCTGACAATTACAACAATTAATCAGTGAACGACTTGCCTCCAGAAGCTGTGAATGCTCTAACACTGGAAGTTTTTAAGAAGAGACTGGACAGCCATTTGTCTGAAATGGTATAGAGTTTTCTGCCTGAGCAGGGAGTTGGACTAGAAGACCTCCAAGGTCCCTTCCATCTCTGTTATTCTGTTCTGTTATATACCTTTAGTTCTAAATTAGATTAGCTCTCCTTATTTTTTAAAAGCTCTAATCATGTATGGCCCATATAATGTAGTATAAGATACTGGACTAGGAATGGGGAGAACCAAATTGGAATCTACCCTTCTAGCTCTGAATATTCATTGGATAACTTTAAGCTAGCACTCTTTGTGACCCCAGCCTCCCTCAAAGCTTGTTGTGGGTGAAAAAATTCTAGATCCACTATCTTGAGCTTATAAAAAAAAGGCAGGACATAAATTTGAACACTAAATAGCAATACACTAATTGCAAAAATGAGAGTATTGGAATATAAAGGCCCTGAATGCTGCATGTGCCCCTGATCTCCAGATTGCTTATTCCTTCTCTAACAGAATGAACTTAAAAGGTGAAAAATAATTGATTTATGTATATGCTGTCTTCTTCCTTGTGTATAAATTACTTATATTTGTGAAGTAAATATAGACATAATTGGATATGCAAATTGTAATTTTCCTCTATGTTTTCTTTTTCTCCCCCTTTCTCTCCAGATGTTTGGTCAGCAGGTTGTGTGTTGGCAGAATTATTATTAGGACAACCAATTTTCCCAGGAGATAGTGGTGTAGATCAGTTGGTGGAAATAATTAAGGTAAGAGGGTTTTTATTATCTGAACGTTATTTTAAAATATAGAACAAACTTATCTAATTTCTTCTTTCTAGTTAAAACTAAATACGATACCTTTCAAAATAAGGAGCAGATATTGTGGAGATAACCAACTGCAATTGTGGTATCTTAACTGATTTTCCAAAGATGGGGAAGTTAATCTTCCATATTCTAGAAGATTGCTCAAGCCAAAAAACCAACAAAAAAAGCAAACAAAAAGTAAAAGGTTGAAAATTTCTTAAATTAAGGAAAATTTTATTCTAACCTGGTTACCATTTCTTACCTATATTCACAGTAAAGAGATTAGGTACGTACCTGAGCCTTTGGAATCTTCTAGAGATAATAAAATTTGGAGATGGGGGAAGTCCTTTCCTTTGTCCTTACTTTACATAACTAGTGCATGGGTCGGCAACCCGTGGCTCCGGAGCTGCATGTGGCTCTTTGAGCCACCTCCTGTGGCTCCGGAGGCTACTCCGCCATTTCCAGAGAGACAGAGAGGCACTTGCACTTCTCCTCTCTCTCTCTCTCTCTCTCTCTCTCTCTCTCTCTCTCTCTCTCTCTCTCCCCCCCTCTCTCTCTCTCTCTCCCTCCCTCCCTCCCTCCCTCTCTCTCTCTCTCTCCTTGCCCCCTCGCAGGGCTCCTGATTGGCCCTGCGCCTGGGTGCCTCAACCCCTGGGAGAAGGGAGGCCAGGAAATTCCTTTCCCAGGCTAGCTCAGTCCGAGGCGCACATGGCCGGAGAGCCGTGTGGGGAAGCCCCGGGATCCCCCCAGGGAGTGGCCCACCGAAGCCTCCGCTAGCATGGGAGGCTCCAGCATCGCTGGTGGACAGAGCTGACCGATTGGCGGGCCATTGCAGCAGTTCCAGCCCGAAGATGCCGGCAGCGCAGAAGGTGGCCGGCTCAGCTGCCCAGGAAGCGGCCTGGGGACGGCCCGGGGAATGATGCCGTCGCTGGCCGCCGCTCCAGCTGGGACTCCGCGCTGCCCAGGCTCGCCCTCTGCCCATGGGATGTAGCCCCGGCGCCGCTGGGGGGGCTAGTGCAACAACAGGCCATCCCTGGACAGTGGCGGCACTGGTGAGTGCTGCTCCAGGGTTCCTGGATGGCATAGCAGAGGCGGACAAGGAGGCGGCGGCAAGCAGGATGCGCAGCATGTCGGGCAAAAGGCTCTCCAGGCTCTTGTTGGCCTGGTGGCGCAGTGCCACCTGGGCGGCCATGACGCGCTGCCACTCTTGTGGCCTTTCAGCTGTGAGAGCACACCGTGGTTGCGGCAGCGCATGCACTTGGCTGTCTGCTGCAGGGGCGCCCAGGCCGGCTGAGCCACCGGGCTGCCCATGTACAGGGAGCCATAGCCGTTCATGGCACCCTCTCACCGAAGCCGCTAGATCCACCTCACTCGCACCAGGTCCATGTTCGTCCAAACGCGGTGGCGCTTCCCTGGCTCTCTTGGCGCCGAAGCAGGCGCTGAACTCGCCCTCAGCTCAAGTGCAAGTTGGCTGATGGCTCCCTCGCCCACCTTCCCCACCTCTCAGGCCAGTCTGCGGTGCCCTGGGTGCCTTTCAGCGCCTTCTGCCTTCTGCCTCCTGCCCCCCTCCCCACCCATTTGGTGCCAACCGCCCACTCACCCCCTTCCCGGCTCGAGAGTGGAGGCCCTGACCATCTTTTCGCTGGCCAGCCCGGCATTCACACAACGACGCGGGGCGGGGCTGGCGAGAGGGATGCACCTTCCCGGCCTGCAAACGCCTGCAATCCAGGTGGGCATGGTGGTCAGGAGGGGGAGAGGCCGGTGGAAGCTCTTGCGGGGTCCCACTTGGACCTGGTACTGCCTGTGCTATGCCAGCTGTCTCCAGTGCTGCCCAGCTGAGCACCCGCAGGGTCCGGATCACGCTGGGCGGAGGGGCTCAGGCAGGGCATGGAGGGATGCAGAGGAGCTGCCCCCAAATGCTAAGGCGGAGGAGGGGACCCCAGTCATTCACCAGAGTCCCGGTATGTCTTGCTGGGCGTGGACCTGATAGGTTTGTTCACCAGGGTCCTGGCTGGAAGAGGAGAGGTCCCGGGCTGGGCTCGCTCTCTATCTCTCTCTGAGCATCACTGCAAACTCGCTGTGTGCCCAGGGAGGGGAGAGCTTAATAGAGGCGCGGGGGGCACGCTCAGCCACCATTCTGGCTGCTGCGCCTGGGCTCCAGGGCCACTACCCTCTTCGTGGCAGCGGCATTACCTTCCATGCTGGTCCTATGGCAAACTAGGCACGCCCCCGCATGCTCACGGGAAGGATGGGAAAAGGGGTGGAAAATGCTGGTGTTGGAGTGGGGGGAGGGAGTTGGGGGAGGAAGAAGGGACCTGTGGTGGTGGGGAGTGTGGGAGGAAGAGTCGGAATCCAAGATGCTCAAATCTGGGTGGGCTCCCAGCAAACACGCGCCAAAGAAGTGAGGGGAGAAGGAAGAGAGGAAGAGAAACAGCGGGTGGGGGGAGAAGCGCCCCGTTTCTTCTTCTGGGGCAAACTCTGTGCTGAAGCCAGAATGGGGGGGGGGATAAGGAGGAAGAGGAAGAGTGTCGATTGACAAACTGTGCCAGCCAATCTCTTTGGGGGAGGCGGCGCAGGATGGAGAGGGCAGCTTACCTTGGAGAGGGAGAGAAAGAGAGAGGGGAGAGAGGGATAGGAGAGAGAGACAGACCCTTTTGACATCTAAAATGAAGATAACACTGCATATATCCTTTTTTACCTTTATTATACACATACATACACAAACATACACACACAAAGGTAAAAAAGGATATATGCAGTGTTATCTTCATTTTAGATATCAAAGGGGTTTTGCGGCTCCCAGTGTTTTGTTTTCGGTGGGAAAAGGGTCCAAGTGGCTCTTTGAGTGTTTTGGGTTGCCTATCCCTGCTCTAGTGCAATGCCTACTAATCTCCTTAAGTTTGTTTTCAGCTGCAATGACCAGAACAGTCTTTTGAAGTTTCATCATTCAAGTGTTTTGAGAATTTGTCCAGATGAGTTAGCATATTTGCCTCTCCATATTGGATACAGCACCCATGATCATTCTTTCTCTAAACACCTCATCTTAGCTTTCTGGCCTTGAGGGCTATATCGGTTAGGACAAGCCTACTAACAACATAGAACAATCCAGCCAGAGTTCAGTTCTTTTTCTTTGTCTGCATTAAACTTTAAACTGGCAGATTGAAGCCACTTTCTTAGCTTTGTTGTTGGCCAAAAACAAGTCATTATTGTTACTATGTTTCTGGTACTGTAGTAGCTGACATACCAGCAGATGGGCCGGGTTCTGTCTCTCTCCACATTCACATAGTGTGTTGTTATCTGCTAAGAGCCTTCACTTGAGCATATTGGTTTTACATTTAAGCACTCCAACTTTATTTGACTACACCATATAGACAGAATCTTGCTAGATTAAATCTACATTACTCTTATTCTAACAGGATATACTCTGGGAAATTCTAGGGAGTGGCTATCCTAAATCTCTTCCGGATTCTCCCATCCAGCTCTGGGTTATGTTTTCTCTTGTCTCTCCCCCCCCCCCCTTTGGAATATGTTCCCTCCTTCCTGGGAAACTGCCACTTCACCATCTTGTAATTCTATAGCTAGTCCTCTAGGGAAGATTCTCCCTTCAGATAAATAACCCTTACCTTTGTGCCTTGAGGATACCCACACAATGAACTCTTACAATCACTGTTAAACTTCTCCAAAATGGGTTTAGTGCAGTCACTCATCCACAATAATTCTCTGTTAAGACTTTGCCATTTTTGTTTGTCCTAAAAAAATGTAAATTGTGATTCTCTTCCTCTATAATTCAGACCAATTGCAGAACATCTTCCCATAGTGAAACATATGCATGCACACATGATGGGGGGGGGGAGAGACACCATGGGACATACATCACAAAACACTCTATAATAACAATGTGCCATGTAGTTGAATATTGAAATCCAGAAAAATAAATAATATTCCATTCCCTTCCTCCAGTGTAGTTTCTGACATAGGTCATCCACCAGGACAGCCAAAGCAGTCTCAAACCATATCTCAGATGAAATTCTAATTGAAATTAGTTTGAAATGCACCTGCAGCTGTGAGTCTACCCATTTTTTTTCTGTCACCATATTCAGGAACGGACTATTTGATGTGTGTGCGTGTTTGTTTGTGTAATTTTTATTAAGGATTTTAATTACAATAGAAGAAATATTGAAAGAGAGAGAGAGAGAGAATATATAAAGAAATTACTTCCAACCTTCATCACATCTTACAAACATTTTTATAACTCTTCACCCCCTTTTAGTTTATTTACAGCCAATGATGGTTTTATCCCATATTTTATCTATAGACATTCCATAAAGCATCATTTTTTTCAGTCCTAGTGTCAGCAGAAAGTTCATTTACGATTTGCATGTCCAGTGTGATTTGTCTCCATGTCATTCTGTCATTTGTAGATTCATTTTCAATACTATCTCTGCCTTGTCAAATAAAATTGTTCCTTTTCTGACATTTCTTCCAAAACTTCTATTGGATGCAGTCTATCCATGTAAGCAAACATCACTATTGCCATCATGGATAATAACTTCTAATTCCATTTTTCAAAAGTTTCCTTCAATATTTAAAATGATTTGGGTCATTTTACAGCTCCCAGCTAATTAGTTGTTAATTGTGTATTTTTCTCCATGAACTACAAACTTTAGTTCCCTCTAGTGTCCAGTTTTAGAAATTGCTTATATTTGTTTTGTAAAAGCTGAAACAAATCTATTTGCATTGGGAAGGGTCCTGTATAATTAATTCCAAAATTTTATTCCAAAGTTATCTGGAACCTTAATCCAGATTTCCAAGTTTATGGTTATCTAGGATCAAAGCCTTACTCCTCTTTTTGCTTTTTATTTCAAACTTTTTAAATTCTTAAAATTATTTTTTAAACCAACTTAAAGTTTCAAGGAAAAATAAAATACAAATTAACAAAAAATAAAAAATGACAAGAGAGAAGA